CTCTATGGTGAAAACTGAAAGACTCAGTGGCATAGAAGTAAGGAGACCAACAGCAGATTCCATGGAGCATACAGGATGGATAGGAGGGAGTTGGGAGGGAAAGGGTTTGCGGAGAAAAAAAAAGGTTGACAGACATAAATACAGGTTAACAAGGTGAGTAAGTTATGACATGGTATATCACATCAGAATAAAAAAGGGCAATACTAATCTAATACATATCCAAAAAAAAAAAAACCCAAATCAAAAACACTATTAGAATGAATATCAAAGGTGTAAAACATAACGTAATATTCTTTGTTGAAGATTCTGGATATGTTAATATCCCTAATTTATCACACACTCTATGCATGCTTTGAAAATCTATATTGTACCCCACAAAGATGTGTGACTGTGAAAATCAGAAATTAAAATTCTTAAAAGAAGAATATGCTGCCATTTACCACAACTTCTGAAAGATTTTTAAAAAATAAAAATAATAAAATAAAAAGCCAAGGAGTAAAAAGCCAGCCTTACTGAGCACTTGAATTACACCCCTTTTTTTTTTAAAATATAGCCCCAGAGGTTACTGAGCACTTGAATTACACCCCTTTTTTTAAAAATACAGCCCCCCAATTTTTCCAGGATTCTCAACTTGCTTTTCAATTAGCACACCTGAAACTTCAGTTTTAGTCACCTTCCTCATGTTTTGCATGAGATTTTCTCCCGTCAGTGAAATTTGTTGATCCAATATCAGGCATTTTCCTAGCAATTTTGTTTGTTTGTTTGTTTCAGGCATTATTTTTAGTGACAGAGCAAGACATTGAACTAGTCTAAAAAATTATCATGGAGATTGTATTCAATACATAATGAGCAAAGGGCAATAAATAGACAAGAAAATATCATATAGCCTAAATGCATCATTAAAAATAAGTCAAGGTGACATGACACCAATTTTGGCTGGCAATCCAATAATGGTAAGGAGCAAGTGTTTAGGAAAATCTGTCTCTTGGAGATTCCTGATTCCATGGCTGGCTAGGCTTACTGCTTTGGAGAATACATTTAACCACTCTGATGTTTAGTTTCCCTAACTATGAAATGGAGACGAGAATGTTTATTTCAAGGCAATATTAAGAAGATTACAGAAAGAATTACCTGTCATATGTTTAGAGCAGAATCTGAAACATATTTTTGATTAAAACAGTCAGTGTAGGCCTTTCTGACAAAATAATAGTTAAAGTAAGGCCTGGATGACAAGAAGGAAAAGGCAATAAGAAGTTCCGAGCAGAAAATGGTGGGCAGAGGGAATAACTTACACAAAGGTTCTGATTTATAAATGTCTGATTTATTTGGACAAAAGAAGAAGATCATTATATGAGAAGTATGGTGAGCAACTGGTTGAATAGGAGATTGCTAGATCTTTTACACTTTTGATGTAGCTTGGATTTATTCTGACTTTGATGGTTGGTTTCAAAGGCATTCATTTTACAGAGTGGGGTTATTGTACTACCCAGTCTCAAGTTGTAATGGCTTGGAGTAGAATGATAGCTGTAGTGTTAGAGGAAAGTAGGCAGATTCCACAGAAAACAGAAAGGTGTGAAAAGTGAGTAAGAAAGAGTTATAAGTGAAGAAAGAAAAAAAAAAAAAACACTGTGTTCCAACAGAAAAAAAGAATGTATTTTAAGAAAGAGGAAGCATTCAATTCTGTGAAATGTTTCTAAGAAATTGGGTAAAGTGAAGACAGAGAAGCGACCATTTGTCACTTGATGATGGTTACTGAAAACCCTGAACAAAAGTTTTAGGGGAATGCTGTGGGTAAAAGACAGTAAGGCAAGGAGAGGGTGGGAGGCAATGATGTGAAAACAGCAATTTTAGAGAAGTTGTGCTATACAAGACAACAAGACTAAGGAAATGTGTGGGTTCAAAGAGCATGTTTGCTTTGTTTTGTTTTGTTTTTAGAGAGATTTTTGTTATAGGGTGCATGCATTTGCCAGAGAGACAGAAAGTGAGAAATCCCATCCCAGGGGAAATGGCCATGCTGCAATTCCTTCTCCTCCATTCTCCTCCTGGGATTTTGGGCATGCATGCACAATCACCCAGTGAGAGTTTCAAGCTGCCAAGTCCAGAACTCGAACTGTGGTCCACTACATGGGAGTCCAGCAAGATAACCATTATGCCCTCTGTTGGTCCCCCTCAGAGAGTTTTTGCTTAAATTTTTTATTGTGTTTATATTATTGTTATTTTAAATGTGAGAAATGCTAAAGTATCCACTATTATTTACTAAAATTATTGTAATTTGGGGTAGCAGAGACATACACCAACAACTTCTGCTCATCCACACACACCTAGCATCTTGCCTTATACTAGTGCAAAAAATGTAAAAATGAAATTTTAGACAAACAAAATTTTAACAGAGTGTATTTGCCCAAAGGACTTTTCACATCAGGCAGTTTCCTGCAGGGCTTTCAAGGAATTCTGGGTAGCCTCGGTGGTCACACAGTATTTAGGACCAGAAAGTGAAAGTGACACTGGCTGGAAAAAGAAAGTGACCTACAAAAAATGAAAGTGAGGAAATGAGGCCGCTAAATCATTGAATTGGTTACAGTGGATGGAAGGCTGCATGGACAGTTTGAAAGGAGGGCTTCCTGGATCGACTGAAGCGTAGTTGGTGTGCTTGGCTATAACTTAGCCACTAGCTCAGAAAACAGATTAGCATGTAAGGTTTTGATTTATCCATAGAAACCCAAGTGTGGGAGTACAGTGTCTGTTTGAGGCCAAAATAGTTTGGTTTAACACAAGTTTGAATCTTTTTGACTCTGGAAATAATTTCTATGATTTCCAGAAGCAAGGGGCAGAAAAAGAACCAAGAATTGTGTTCACTCTCCTGACCTACTCCTGTATCTGTAATCATCCAAAAAGCAGAATTAAAATGTCAGTGGAGGCTACAGCCCTGCTCATTTCAATGGGTTCAGTTAGAAAAGTAAAAGCCAATTCAAAACACTATGAAAGTCACATTGTATATAATAATAGTAATAATAATAATAAATAGTTACACTGCACTTGCCACTTTGGTTTATGTAGATTTCAATGATCAAACAATTTCAATATTGGTTTAAATATGGATTCTCCATTAATCTACACTTTACATGTCCAAATAGTCACATATTTAAGTAACTCAGTATGTGGATAATACTGTGTGGAATTAAAATGATTCCTCAATCTGCTAATTTTCCAGCTTCCCAGTGCTCTGAAATTTACATTCACTGTGCACTTTCCACCTGGCATGGTATTTCAATAGTGTCTTGTATTCTTCAGATGACACACTGAGAAGATAACAACATCACCTCAGAAACATTTCTTTTTTAATGTTTAACTTGAGTCTTATCATGAGGAAGCAATCCAACGAACCTAAATTGAGAGTCATTTGGTAAACAATTCATTTGGGCTCCATCAAAATGTTAGTGACATACAGACAAATCGAGGGTTGATCTACTATTCTGAATTGAAAGAGATAAGCACAGGTGATAATGAAGTGCAATATGTAATTACTGATTAGGTTTTGGATTAAAAATAGCTAGGAAGGACAGCAATTAGACTCCTGGGAATATATGAATATGGACTGTATAATAGATATCAGTATTATGTTAATGTAAAATGTCTTGAGTGTGATCATTTTATTGCAGTACTAAGAATACTCATGTTTTTCAGAGACAAATTATGTATGTTATTTATTTTTGTCTTTCTTCAACATATTCCTAAATGCTTCAAAGGGATTAATGGACAGATAGAGGGAAATAAGGCAAAAGAAAAGGACACGGATTTGTATTTGGTGCACATAGGTATGATACAAAAGTTCACAATACATTTTTTTCAACTATTCTGAGGTTTCAAGAATTTTCTAAATAGTGACTCTAAATAAAATATGAATAGATATGTAGATAAACCACTCAGTGCTATACCATCTTTAGAAATTTAATTTGAAACCAAATCCTTACGGTATTCACTGTTTAATAATACTATATAGTTCAGGTTTGCTCAGTATTTTAAAGTTCTGTGAGCAAGAAAAAAATTATATTCTTCTTTATTAAAACTCAAAGCTCTAGAAAAAAATACTGAACAAAACTGAGACTCAAAAATGTTAGTTATCACAAACATAATACAAATGCTAAAATTATTGATGATACTACTAAAGAAAAATATTTAAGTGCTATGATGGAAACGATATACATTTTTTGAAATTTTGTAAGCCATATTTTAGGCCAGATAGACCAATAAAGGGTTCACCTCCAAAATAAAACAGTCATTACAGTCTAAGAAACAAAACCATTGATGACCAATTACACCAGTCATTACCAGGCTGCTATTGAACATCAGTCAACAAGTAACTATCAACACATACTTGACTTAGAACAAATCAATGCAAGTCATCAAAATTGAAATACTTTTCTTAAACTCATCACTTTAGTTCCAAAAAAATCAACTGGGCAGATCCCAGAGGGCAGTGGTTAAGCACCGGATGTAGAGAACCAGATCCCACATGGTGACTGTGGTTTGAATCCTGGTCCTGGGGTTTTAAAAATAAAGCGGATACCTGTGCACACGTGCCCAGGATCTTCATGGAATATAAAAATGGAGTATGAAGTATTACATTATGACCACTCTCCATTGAGGGTCATTTTGCTCCTTCATCCCTCTCTCTCTCTCTCAGAATGCACACACACTGTCTGGCAATTTTTAAAAAGAAAGCATTTTACTTTATAGAGGATGCAAGAATTTCTAAGAATGTGTAATGCCAAACCTTTCTATTGTCAGTAAATAAACTACTGAGGATTTAAAAGGATTTGAAAGATTATGTATCATCAATTTGTAATTTGTCTCTTTTGTTGCCTTGAAAGAACTACTTATACAAGTCCATTTTCCAGACTTTATAAATAATACTTTCTAGTGTGTCTCTCAAAAAATATTTCACTATGTAAGAAGGTTGGGAGAAGGTTATAATCAATTAATAGCATTGGCTTCAATACCTATTTTCTCTGTCTTCATCCACTTTTAAGGGTCTAAGATGTAATCCAGATAAGAATCTTCTTCTTGTGTTTTCAATAGGTGATTTTTCTCTGAGTTTATTCTTCAATGCTATATCATATAAAGTGACATGGAAATAATCAGCACCTTCCATTCATGCATGGTAGAACAGTATAAAATATATAGTGACCATCTCTGTTGAATCACAAATTTGTATTTGGCCAAGATTCATAGAATTCCTCATAATTCTCTTTAGAATATTTCATTTCCCTCAACACCATTCCCAATCCCCCAATACCACACCCACTTATTCAACTATTAAATAAATATTGGGTGAGAAAAGAAGTCATGTTTTCACATCACCAAATGAAAATTAGAAAATATTCTCTTGTCTATTCTCTTGTCTAAAAGGGTGAAATAGTGTTACAGCTTATAAATTTCTTTGACATTTTATTTTTACTTCAGTAAGCTACTGTTCCTTATACTGAGCAACTCTATCTTTTGGAATCTATATATTAGATGTAGTATATTAAAATATACTGTATTTTACCTTTCCACTAAGATCAGGCTTAAACCGAGTTGTAAAACTGGGGGTAAAAAGGGAACCAGCAGTTAGAGTAATGGCTATGTCGCTGGATTCCCACATAGTCGACCGTGGTTTGCATCCTGGACCCGGTAGCTTAAAACTCATGCCGGGCGCGTGTGCGTGCGTGCCCAAGATCCTAAGAGGAGAATGGAGGAGAAGGGATTGCGGCATGACCATCCCCCCTGGGGGGTGATTTCTCGCTTTCTGTCTCTATGTCTCTCTCTGTCTGTCTGGTGAAAACTTCTCAAAAAAAAAAAAAAAACTGGGGGTAGAAAGACCATAATTGATGCTGTATTTAAATATGCTATTTTTAAAAACTGAGTTAAAAAATATGACATAGAGGCAGACCTTTGTTTAAAATAGATTTCTCCAATGAAACTGTTTAAAGTGAACTACGGTTAATATTTAAGACAGGGAGGCAAAGCTCTTCTGGCAATTTACGTTATCTTGTTTAAAAATCTCAAGAAGATATACTGACTCATCAAAATTCTCTCCTTCATTCTAAAATTCTTTCCCATATTTAAAATGTTAAAAATAATTATTTTTGAACTTATCTTTTTAATTCTATGTATGCATAGCTGTGAGTACATTTTTAAAAACCGCCACCTCAGCCTTCATACTGAGATTAATTTGACTTTCTAGCACCCTCTAACCTTTAGTTACACGTTCTATAAAATCTTAGCCAATGTCTTTTCATTTCACCAGTTAAAATAAGATTTATTTTTATTTTGACTGATTCTCCTAGATCAACTGAGCTAACTTCAAGTGATACCTTGGATGCAGACATATCTCCACTATTGCTGAACAAGTCATATGCCTATGCTAGTAAAAAACCCACTTACTAATGATTGGTATTTCCTCTCACTCTTTCAATATCAAAATTCTTTACACTGGGCATGTTTTAGCCTATCTGTGTAATAAGAGCCAGTGGGATAAGAATATAAATTTCAATTAGCTGACAATAAGAGCCAGTGGGATAAGAATATAAATTTTAATTAGCCAAATGCCATTAAATAAATCATATGCATGAACATAAGCACATTATCAATTTAATTTTCTACTATGTGTCTGAGTATTTAATATGCTTTAGTTTCTCTTCAGAATATGCTGTTAAAGGAGTTACAGTTTTATCTCCTTAAAACCAAATTGGAAAACTATATAAACACATTTTCAGATTTGATCTATCCTAGTCTTCATATTTGGTTTCCAACTTAATTTGTATGTCACAAACCTTTAAATTCAGCCAAGTTTTATTAAGCAACTCTTTGATCACCTGTTTCTATCTTGCTTGATTCAGTTTTGGACATATAAACATCCATCTTTTTTGAATTGCTTGACCTCACATACATACCCAAATACCTATAAATATTGCTACTGCTAGAAAAGATTTTAATTTAGCCATACTATTACCCTATTATTGTCTTAAAGAGATCAGATCGCATTTAACTGCATATTCGGATTTTCAATATCTTTATAACACTCTATGGAAATCCCCAAACTGCTTTTACATTTGTGAAAATGAAGGGTTCCATCATCACACAATGGACTGTGAAGAAAGTGCAAGCCTTTTATTCTTATGGGTCCTTTTATAGTATCTGATGTTATTAGAACAGGGACTGCTTCGGGCAATGGAAAACTAGGTCAAGTTTAGAACCAGCCAGTTTATTCATTTTCCTTTATGTTCATTGATATACTACTTTCAGTAATAAAAGCTTTATTTTATATTTTGGTCCTCAAAGTGGTAAAATTAAAATGACTATCAAGAAAACCTATCAGGGACTGTTTATCTTTGTGAAGTGATTATTTAGAAATGTAAGTTATGTGATTAAACAAAGAAAAGTAACAAAAACAATACAGTTCATCATTATTGCTGGCTTAATTGGCTGGATATTGATTGAGAAACTGTTCAGTAATGGAGTTAGAATACATACATAGCCAGTGTAGATACAGACCTACTGAGAGAGAGGCAGTAGCTAGGAATCTCTACTACAATAACACCAGGAGTCTTACTCCAGATGTCCTCATTTCTGTGCCATGCACACTACTCTTTCCAGCACTTTCACTCTTTCTATAACTTAAACTATCTGTTGGGAAATATCACTTTATAACAGAGTGAAAAATAAAGTATTGTCTATTCTTCCACCTAAAAAACACATAAACAATAGTGTCCCCTTACCCACAGAAAATATGTCCACCCTCAGCAGAGGCCTGCAAATACAGATAGTACTAAATCCTATGTATATATTTTTTTCCTTTGTGTATATACCTATGATAAAGTTAAATTTATAATAAAGATACAGTAAGATATAAATAGTAATTAATATTAAAAATAGAACAATTATAACAATATTCTACAGTAAAAGTTACATGAGTGTGTTCTCTCCTTGCTCTTGCCCTTAGTCTCTCAAGAGATGAAGGAGTAGTGTATTAACCTATTCTTTTTTTTTATTTGTTTGTTTGGAGAGGTTTTTGCTATAGGGCGCGAGCGCTCGCCAGACAGACAGAGAGAGACATAGCGACAGAAAGCGAGAAATCACCCCCCAGGGGGGATGGTCACGCCGCAATCCCTTCTCCTCCATTCTCCTCTCGCGATCTTGGGCACGCACGCACACATGCCCGGCGTGAGACTTAAGCCCCCGGGTCCGAGACATGAACTGCGGTCGAACTACGTGGGAGTCCAGCGACATAGCCATTACGCTAACTGCTGGTTCCCCTAACCTATTCTTGAAACTTGGTTGACATAGGTACTGAAACCATGGAAAGTAAAACTGTAGATGAAGGAGGACTACTGTACTGACTTGCATTTCTAGTTCCAACATGTAAAGTTTTCAGAAGTAATCACACCTATCCTTAAAATAGAAAAAGTTGAACAAAATCAATGACTGTTCTTTGGCCCATTAGAGAACTGAAGTCATAGCGCAAATTGCCACTCCAAAATCTAGAGAGAAGGAAGAACACAGAGTCACAGCTTGGATCTGATTACCTGAATCAGAAGCAGCTAAAAACATGAACTGGTAGGAACATATAAATAGCAGTTTTGCTGAATTGCTGCAGGAGGATTATGAACTATTATATGAGAGAGAACTCATGCAGAACACAATCTTGGAGGGAGGGCTCACATACTTTCTGGGTTTTCCTTTGAAGAATCCCACTATAGTCTCTTGAAGAGCCAAGAGAAATCCATGTCCCTAAGGGATAGAAGGAAAGAGTAATCATTGTGAAACATGGTTATGTTTCTTCATAACCGGAGTTCACTCTCCAGATAAAAGACCTTATTGGAACCTTATACAGTAAGGGGAAAAAAAAGGATAGTTCTCAAACTCCATCCCCCTCTAGACTTTGTGTCTCACCAAAAGAGATTAAAAAAAAATATATTGGGGAAACATTTGGGAAGATCAAGGTCCAGAAACACAGGCCCACCACAAATCTGACATTTGATCAGAAGATTATAGAATAATCATCTATTGGGGATGACTGCCTTCATCTCTCTTTATCTCTCTCCCTCTGTATTTTTCATGGAAAGCAAGAAATAAGTAAAAACACCATTTTTAAAAATAGCATTCCAAAAAATGATGGCTTGAGTGATCCATCAATAATACTCAACATAAAAAGCGCAACTCTCGAAAGAAAGATGGTTGAGTTGGACTGTTAAAATAAATAAATAAATATCTTCTCTGTGAAAGACCAGTTAAGAGAATCAAAAAACAAGCTAAAAACTGGAGAAAATAGTTGTATAAGACATATTTGACAAAGGATTTATATTCAAAATAAACAAAAACTGAAAAATTCAGCAATAAGAAAACAATCCAATTAAAATATGGACAAAAAAGAACCAGCAGATGGCATGGAGTTTAAGGCACTGTATTCTACATGGCCTTCTGTACATTTTGAGTCCTGGACCCAGCAGCTTAAAAATCAGGCCAGGTACATGTGTATGTGTGCCCAAAATCTCAAGAGGAGACTGGAGAAAAGAGTGTGGTGTGGCTATCACTTCTGGGAAGTAATTTCTTACTTTCTCTCTCTCTCTCTCTCTCTCTCTCATACACAAGCACTTGCAGCCTATAGCAAAAGATTTTTAAAAATCAATAAAAACACATGGACAAAACATCTAAAGGACTTTTTCATCCAAAAATAATACATGGAATAGAAACAACAAAACTAGTGAAGTACGTAACTCCACAGTCTAGTCTCAACAGAGAATCATCTGAAAATCAGCCAAAACTCTCAGAATCAACATTGTCAGAAATCCAGAAAGTAGTTGACATTTTATAGCAAACAAATGCTTAAACAATAAGAAAAGGCAGTGTTGGGACCAGCAGATGGTGTATTGGTTAAGTCACTGGACTCCCACATGACAAACTGTGGTTAGAGTACTGGACTTGGTGGTTTGAAACTCACACCGGGTGTGTGTGTGTGTGTGTGTGTGTGTGTGTATGTGCCCAAGATCCAGAGAAGAAAATGGAGGAGAAGGGGTTGCGATATGTCTATCCCCTCAGGGGGTGATTTCTTGCTTTCTGTCTGTGTC